TCTGAGACACATATCGAGCAGTGTTGTGCCAACGCCGAATCAACACTGAATCTGAGGCAACTGCCCCGAACTGCAGTGGGCTGTACCGTACGGACGCCGAGTCATTACCGAACCTGAAACATGTCGATGTCGAGCCAATACTGAACGTGATATCGAAGAAATAGTCGGACAAAGGTAGCACCAACCCCGACTGACCATGCGGCCCCGCTCTCTCGAAACACACCAACTGCAGCAAGGCCAGTAACCAGATATATCAGGTAAGTCACATGAGCGATCTCAATTATCGGAGAATAGGGAGGATCGTTAAATCAGGGTAAATATATAATCCGACCCCAAACTCATCACGAATAATTTAAACAGAATTTAATAAAATATTAAATAATCATTAATTTTTCTCCTTTTTAATGATTTTTAATTATTTTTCTTATTTCTTAATCTTATCATCAAAAATAATAAAAATAAAAATAATTCGAAAAAAAATGAATTTCGATGGAATTCAATAAATTAACAAAATTTTCTTTGTTTTCTTCTTCTTTTATTGTTCTTGATTCCTTTCCCTATTTTTGATTATATTACTGGTAATAACAAATAACGACGGTGATTCCATTAAAATTAAATACCGAGGAAATTTAATAAAATAAAGAATATCCTGTTTTTCTCTTCGCTTCTATTGCTCTTAATTCCTTTTCCCATTTTTAATTCTGGTATTAAAATTAATGAAATCCGAGGCTTCATTCCTGCTCCAATTGTGCAAAGTAAAACGGTCATGCCAAGGCCTACTTCCGTATTCCCATCCCGCGGTTAGCTGCTTCGGGAATAGACTCGGAGCAAGCGGAAGAGAGGTGGGGCACAACATGGTAGAGGAGGTAACTCCCCTCGTTGATTTGAGGGTTACTCTCATTGGTCAGCACATTCCAAATTAGGGGTGCTGTGGGTACCCCTAATTTTCCCCGTCAGGTCAAACAAGAGTACCGTCAAAATACGGTGTAGTCATCAAGTCAAAGACTCAAAACCGCTGATTTCGGGTGACCCACTGCATGTGGCCGCTCGACAGCTAGCCCGGACCTCTTCTCAACGCCCCCGTCGAGCCCTCAACTTGACGGAATAATTTTTTTTAATTAACGTTTAATAAAAAAAATTAATAAACAAATGTTTAATTACTGCGTTTCTAAGAGTGCACGTCGTCGGTTTTGTGCGGGAAAGGTGAGAAAAATTCAGTAAAATCCTTCCGAACAAACACACCCCCGGCGAGCGCTGCTAAAAACTGCTCCGATTGTGGAGTGTGTGAAATCGTGCAGATCCTCGGTTATTTAGCGTAACGAGGGTGAATTCGGCCCCGTTCCACGTCGCTGAAAGCTGTAGCCTTATCGCAAGTCTTGAGTACCTTTAGTACTCGTTCTCTCTCCTGCGGGGTTAAGTTCCCATCGTCGATATCCATCCTTGCTATCCTATGCTGCGACTCTTTTTTTTTCTTTTCCTTAATCTCTTTGGCGATCTCCTCTTCAGATATTCCTTCTAGCGCAGATCGCTCTCGACGTACCGCATCAGGTTTAACTTTCTGAGCTACTCACTTGTGGTGTTTGGGTTGCTGCGAGTAGGGGGGTTGTGCCCTTAAAAAAGATACAGATATCACGCCGCCGAATTCTTCGTTCCTTTCCTTTGGATAAAAGTTTCCATCTATTATCAATCGATTTCCTAAATCTTTCACTTCAACAATCCGGTCTTCTTTTTCTGTGAGAAGAGGTCCATACTTCTTCTCGCGAAATCGCACCACGCGGCCGGAGATAGGTAATGATTTAATCCGATCACTGGGTCCCGCACCTACAGCGAGAGCTGCTCTGTTCCTCAGGTCTCGAGGTTCCACTGTCTCAATCATAACCTGCGTCTCATCTAGCTTCGTAATGGATAATGTCTGGCTCCCGTCCGGTCGCTCTATCGTCACCGCATGCACATGGCTCAACCACGTCCGTCCCAAGAGCAGGTCAGAGCTGCAGTTCTTGACTGCAAAGACTGGCAGGGTCACTCGTACCCCTTGGACCTCTATGGCTGCCTTGTGACGAACTCCTGTGATCTGCTCTTTTCTCCCATCAGCCGTCTCTATCTCGAGTAAGTATGACCTATCGAGTTCCAGTCCAACTTGCTGTGCCGGATCCTCGTCTATAATGACAGCCTCACTGCCGTTGTCGATCACATTATCTAAAACCGCTCCGTCGCTTAGGATCGTCTCCACGGTCCCACTACCAAGTATGTAAAACTTGTCTGGAGGCACACCTTCCATCCCGTCAAGAAGAACTGTCGCAATGCGATCTGCTCTAGTTGTCACCTCTGATACTGCTACAGTGGGGGCATCCGCCTTAGGGGTCACCTGAGCCTCATCTGATAGAGGTATGCGAGTCTTCCTCGTGATCATCTGTAACTCGTCGTGAACCGGTTTGGATGCTGCCAGATATTCCAGAATAGAGCACTGCATAGGCTGCCGAAGGGCCCGTCTCAGTGGCTCGACCGTGTCAATCTCATCCAACGAACTCTTCATCAAGAACTTCTTCACTCCCCGCTTTCGCGGTGAAAGAATTACCTCCTCTCCATCGATCCGTTGTCCGTCCTTCTCCGCCATCATGTAGTCTGTGTCAGTCTTCTTCGATGCAGACCCTCTCGTCGACTTGGTAGCTGCCACCCTTATGGGTGTGGTTGCCATATCTCCTTCGAAAGTTATCTTGATGCTCTGGCTTCTATACAGCTCCTTTCCTTTACTCGGCCTTACTCTCCTTGCTTCTACATTCTCCTTCATCGAAGGGAAACTGATACGTCTCCCAGATCATCTGCCCACTTGACGTACTTGCGGTTATCAAGCACGACAAGTCCCTCATCTATTGCCCGTTTGAGATCCGGGCAGTATCTCTTGATATGATCATCTCCTCTACAGTAGACGCAAGAGTTCCTGGGAGTGGGTGGCCTGTCGTCCGCGCTCCTAGAGTTTCGAACCCCTCGCTGCTCTGGGGTCAGGGGACTTTGTATGCGGATCGAATGACGCTTCATATCCCCCTCTCTCATTCCGGCCGCGCGAATCATTGCGGCGGTTTCCTCCGGATCCTCCTTGCTCATGTCGTCCTCGTGAGTCATTCCGGCGGTCCCCATGGTCGTATCGCCCGCTCGACTCATCGCGTCGATCTCCTCGGTTGTACCACCCCCGCGAATCGTCACGTTGCGCCCTCGCGAATCCCCTGCGATCATACCGTCCGCGCGAGTCATCTCGTCGGTCTCCGTCTCGATTTCCTCTCTCGTACCTGCCACCCCTGTATCCATCTCGATCCGACCTCTCATATCTGTCGTCCCTATATCCATCTCGGTCCGATCTCTCATATCTGCCATCCCTGTA